CTTCTACTTTAAATGACCTTAATATATAATCAGTAAATATTAAGATTAACTATCAGGCAAACAAACCCAATTAAATTTGTTTTATCTCTACTAAAATAAATTATAAATCATTTATATATACATTTCAGTTATGGATAGTTAAATGAAATTGAGGTTTATATATAATATATAAAATATTTATATAATATGTAAAAAGGGCAGACAGTTTTCAATAGAGCATTTCTCACTTTCCCCTCCTTATAAAATGGCCATTCTTTCTTGGTCAATCCCACTATATATCTTCAAGTTCAGGGAATAACATTAACTCATTTTTTTTCTTTTTTCCCCATAATTTTATTAATAAACAAATAGCAATGAGACAGTTTCAAATCAAATTGGTAGGACAGTTTCAATAATTCACACACTGCATACATTCTTCCTAGTAGTTAATTGCTGTACGAGATGTGGACATGATATTCTATTTACAAACACTATTAGAACAAATTGCTCTATTCATTAAGAGAATGTAACTATATATCTATCCTAACCACTTTGAATACACAGATACAACATGGACATTCATCTGTATCCCCCTTTTTTGTTAAGTTCCATTATTTGAATATTATAGGTGTGTAAACTCAGCAAAATATTCTAAAAGAGTCCAGTAGTCCATAATAGTATTGGGTCTTCCGCTTCACTGGCAATGTCAGAAACTGTTGACCTGAGTCCCCTATAGCTCAACATAACAGCATGGCTTTACTTCTTATATTTCGTTTTTATACTTTTCTGCTGGATGGTTAAGACGAAGGTAAAGCAGGATCTATGCAACAAGAGTTGTAGCTTTTGGGTCTGATAAGGTCAGTGAAATCCCCTCAGGATTTATCCTGAGATCCTGTACCTCAGATTGTAGAACCTTTGTCAGTGCAGCCATGTGGATGAGTCATGGCCATTGCTTGGGCAATGTGCTGTCTGTGAAAGCCTGAGAGAATGTTTTCTCTCCATGTGACTCTCCTTAGGCACACTCTACATCATTGATCACTTTCCCCTTTGGCCCCATAATCTCCTTGATCAGAAAATTTGGGACACTACTGAGTTACATGACGTTACAGTACAGGTTCTCATATGTCCTGAGTCTTAATTGACCTTAGAAGGCTAGGGCCAAAATGTTGGCTTTCCTTGCAGCCCTCCTTTTTCTCTAATTTATGTCTGCAAACTTAGGTTGTTAACCATCCAGAAGACAAGCTTATTGTTATTACCATATAACTTAGGCTGTTAAGCTTAACCTCACTATCTGTCTGCATATCAAACATCTTAGGCATAATATGGAACAGGTATTTTTCATCGAGTATTTTTTAAAGTCTTAGACTTTGAATCTAGCACAATATTGGTAAACGATCAATGAATGTTTGTTTTTCCTACTTTATCACTGCTTGCTATGGGACTTCAAACTCATAATTTCTGTGGGTCTCACTTCTTCCCTCCTTCCCCATGGAAAAGAGACATTAGACAATGGCTCTGTTCCTAAGGCACTGACATATTTATCCATGGGGCAATCCAAGATACTAGCTTTCCAGGCCTCACTTTGTTCTGTTTTGCTCATGTTACCACCCTCAGTACACAGAGTGACTGTGTTAGATGAAAACACCTTTTTATTAGATCTGGGTGAGTCCATCAAGCCCCTGAAATATGAAAAGAGTCATATCTCCTTCGGTTTTAATATGGTTACAGAGCAGGAGTGAAACTGACTGTCTATTTTTTAATGGACTGATTACCAAAGCCAGGGATCAAAGGTTCCTGTTGTTTATCTTTACTCATTTACTGTAATGACTTTTGACACTCCATCAGAGTTTCCTACAGGCCCAGGGGGAGTTTTGATTTCTATTCACAATGACATGATAGGAAATTCACCAGGCTCTAGGTACATCCTATTTTGAACTTAAGGGGGTTGGAGAAAATAAGGAAAAACACTACCCTTGTTTAAAATGACCTATTGCTAATTCTTATTTTACAGATAAAGAATCTAATGCTCAGAGATACTAATTGGTTTCCTTGTTCAAGTAGAAAAGCAAAAATATCAAAAAACAGTCTCTGGCAAAACATAGACTAGTAAACACAAACTTTTAACTTCTATCTTTATTCATTTTACTCTTAGAATTTCAGAGCCTAGTAACTCTTCCTTTCCCTAGGATCCTAACACATAAAGAGAGAAAGGAAATAGAGTCAGTTTTATTGACAGCTATTCAGTAAAATATAAAACATAGTCCTCACCCCAAATGTAGACACCAGTGGGAAGAATGGTCATTTTATTCATCTGAATGTAAAAGATAGGAAATGGTTCACCAACCATAATTGAGACCCCATTTGACTGCTTCCTAATGAGAGGAAAAGGTGAGAAAATTCTGTTCCCTCTTACAAAACAAGGAGGAGCAAATATGAGGTAAAAAGAGAAATACGCTCATATTTTCATTAAATTAAATGAATAAGCCTTAAGTGAATTAACCCTCTAATAGGGTAGGAAGATTAAATTTCAAATCACGTATACTTATTGTTGAGTTGGAATACAGGTGAAGAAAGACAGAAAGCATTCACTTCAATACCCTCTGAGAGAAGTAAAGTAAGTGTCTTTTCTATGAAAACATAACGAAGGAATAATAAATGTCTTAAGGTTTTGGGTTTACTCTTTACCACTTCTTACATGCAGTAATATCCTCTAAATAATGTGCTACCAGACTTTTCATCTGTTTTTCACAATGTGGATGAAGAGCTTTCTCTTACATGATTATGAATTCAACTTTCTTCCAAATTTATAGTATTTCTTTGAAAAAGCCACTCTTTGCATTCCTTGGTTTCCTCTTCTATGAAATGGGAAGATGATTATCACCATGTAAGATTTTGGGGGACAATTACATGAGTTAATACTATGAAACCTTAGTAAGCGCAGGCTATTAGTTCTTCTTTATATTTCTCTTCCTCTTTCTTCTCTCAGCTATTCTTGGTCCAGTGTGGTATGCTCCTTGTTAGGTATAATGTTGCAAGCAGATAGGCTAATATAGGCTTGAGCCTCGAAGCAGTGGGCTCATTCATATAATTAAATGCTACCTAATGAATCTTGGCTGCTCCATGATACAAGGTCCCAAAAATGATCACCCAGTTCCACAGATGAGCCTTAAGCTTTTTGACTTAAATTATAGTGTTAAAGCTACCTGCTGATTATCTAGAACTGATATACTAAACGGAATGACTAGAGAGAGGTTGCAGAGTTAATCTTTTGGGAAGTTACTACAGTGATTATAAATGAGGGAGATGGCAGGGGAGATATCTCAGTGGCCTAAGCACCTGCCTGGCAAGCACAAGGGCTGGGGTTCAATTCCTGTTACCACATGCTATGCCGACCCTGCCTCAGGAGTGCTGTGCTGGCCACTGAAACTGGTAATTCCAGTGCTAGGCAGGCTTAGACAGGAGGAGCACTACAAGTCTGAGCTGCATAGTGAGACCCTGTCCCAAATAAATAAATAAATAAATAAATAGGTAAACAAAAGATTATAAATGAGAAAGAGAGGTAAAGGGAGGGAGGAAAGGAAGGAGAGAGACGGAGAGAAAATAAAAGGATAGAAAAAGAGAGATCCAAAGACATTTGTAGGGGCTAGGGCGATAGCTCAGTGGAATGAGCACTTGCCTGGCAAATGCAACAGCCTGAGTTCAATTCCTGGTTCTGCCCCCGCCAAAAAAAAAAAAAAATTAAAAGACATCTACATTTAGGGCAGTGGCCTTTAACCATCAATATGTTTTGAATCCACTTATTAATATTGTCTCAAATCACAGCAAATGTAAGAGGTGATAATGACATCCTGGTGATATAGCAGTACAGCTTCAATAAATAACTTGCTACAAATAGAACATAGGTTCCCCACGCCTCTCCTAAAGAATCTTGCTGATGTAAGGTACGGTGGGAATGGAAAAGTCTCATGATAGGTGATATAAGACTAAACTTTCAGGATTTGGCCTTTGGAGAGTAAATGCCTTTAATGCATACCTCACTACTTTTTTTAAGATCTTGGCAGAAAGCTCTGAAAAACATAAAAAATATTATTTCTGTTAGAATAGTGCCATTTTTAGCTAAGCTCTGTTGAATCAGTAATTCAACACACAAGCATTGGTAGAAAGGGCAAGAATAAATAACTTTTAAGGTTCTCTAAGCATTTGAATTTACAATTTATAAAATTTCACCCATAAAAGGGAAAAAATGTAAAACTATAGATAAGTTCTACCCAGGCCTTTGTCATTAAGAAGGAAATGTCTTAAATATGAAGTACGTATATTTGGAGGTTGTCAACAACCTAAATGTTTCAAATATTATGGGATTTTACTAAGTGTAAGGCACTGTGTAAAGTACTAAATTTTGTGCTGGATCTAAAAAGCTCAGAATCTGGAGCAGAGAGTCTCAGTCACTTTCCTTGTCACTGACATACAATACTCAATATCTACAATGTAAATCTGAGGTGTATTTTGGCTCCTATTTCAGTCCATACTTGACTGATTCCAAGGCAGGACAGCATGACACAAGAGCACCATGGAGGAATGGCTGCTTACCTCATGGGGGGGGGGAGAGAGAGAGAGAGAGAGAGAGAGAGAGAGAGAGAGAGAGAGACAGAGACAGAGACAGAGACAGAGAGACAGAGACAGACAGAGAGAGAGAGAAGGAAAAAGGGAGGGAGGGAGAGAGGGAAAGAAAGACAGACAGAGACAAAGAGAGAGACAGAGAAAGAGAGACACAGAGACAGGGACAGGGACAGAGACAGAGACAGAGACAGAGACAGACAGACCCAAGGAAAGGAGATATACCTTTCCAGGGCACGGCCACAGTGATCTGCCTCTTCTAACTAAGTCTCACCTCCTAACAGCAGATCAACTCTAATGCCCCCCAAATCTAGTCACTTTCCAAAAGCCTGTAAGTGCATGAAGATCTGGGGAGACATTTATAAATCATAACCAGAGAAAACAACACTGAAAGTTATCAGTAATACATTTTTTGTTGTCCTCTATATTAATGTAAAACAGCACAAATATAAGTGAGATGAACTCAATCCTCCATCATGCCTATGAAATGCCTTTGTTGTTGCCTTCCTAAGGTTCATTTGTTCTTCTTTGTGAAGAACAGCAGTTCTTCAGTGGAGTTAAGATGACATACAGGATTCTAGAACAGGCAAGAAAGGGTTGGTTCTAGAGAACTTTTCAAATATACCAAAGAGAATTATCTGAACTATTTTTCTCACCTTTAAAGTTCTACAAGCACAATGAAGAAAATATGAAGGAGAAAAACATCCTCTTGGAGGCTACCAATCTTAATACTCTCTGGCCATGCACACCTATTTCTTTTGCTGATTCTTAAATGTGGTGGGATTCAGGGCTTGGTCCTTGGACTGATCCTTTCTATCTTCATTTACTCCAAAGTAATCTTCCTACTCTCAAGGCTTTCAACACCATGTGCATATTGATTAGCTCCTGACTTATAACTCTAGCCTAGACACACTGGCTCTTTACAGTGGTAACTATCTGTTTCTAGTCTTCAGCAATCACTATGCCCAGCCTCTGTAAGTCTGTCACTGTGAGAATGTTATTTAAATGCCACCTGGCATGCAGCCTTTTGAGATTGCCTTTTTCTTTTTTCTTTTTCTTTTTTTTTTTTTTTTTGGCTCAAGATTATTCCCTTGAAATCTACCCATATAACTGCACAGATCAATTATACATTCAATACTATGCTGAGTATGTAACACCGTTTATTTAAATATTTACCTACTGAGAGACATGTAAGCTATTTCCAACTATAGGTTAAATAAAGCTTTTGAGGACACTCACATACATAGTTTTGTGTGTGAATATATTTTTATTTCTTTGAAATAAATACCTAGGAGCATGACTATTGGGTTGAATGTTAAGTATATATTTAGATTTTTAAGGAATTATTTTCCAGTATAGCTGTACCATTTTACATTTTCATCAGAAATATGCGAGAGATCTAGTTTCTTCATCCTTGCCAATACTCAGCATCAATTTTTTTTACAAAAAATAGCCGTTTTAGAGTATGTGTGGTGGCATCTCACTGTGAGGATAATTTCCATTTCCCTAGTGATTAATTATGTTTGAACATGTTTTCATGAGTTTATTTGCTCTCTGAATTCTTGATGACTTATCTTTGCATGTATTTGTTAATTTTCCAATTATATTTTTCTTTTGTTATTGAGTTTTGAGAATTCTTTTTATTTTGTCTTTCATCAAAACCGTGAGTCTGTGGACTATCTTTTCATACTTTTTATAGCATCTTCTACAGAATAGAAGTAAAAAGTTTATTTATCTTACTTATTCCAGGTTTCTCATTTGACCAAAATCACTTTTTTTCTTATAACTAGCATGTTCTACATCACAAGTATTCTGCAAGCCATAGACATAGGGCCATCAAGATAGCTCAATGGACTAAGCACCTGCTTTGGCAAGTGTGGGGACCAGGGTTTGATCCCTGGTCCTGCATACTGCACTAGCCCTCCCCCCACCCCCCGGGCTTGCTGAGCTGGTGACTGAGTGGTGTGATGGTGCATGCCTGTAATCCAGCGCTGGGGAGGCTGAAAGCAGGAGAATCATTATGAGTCCAAGTTTTGAAGTGACACCCTGTACCAAACACATAAATGAAAAAAACAAAAACAAACAAACCTGTAGACACAAGTATTCTGAGATTTAGAATGTCATTTTAGTCATTTCCTGACTTCCATTCCCAACAGCTAAGTTTACCTATCTGACAGCCTCAATTCTTTCAGGGTTCTACTTTCTACTACAAACCAAGAGATGGGAACTAATTTGAAAAAAGAAAATTATGGCAGTGAGGCACATATTACTGTTAGACCTGCTTTCTGGAGACAAGTGTAAGCCAAATGAATAATATGAGTGAGTAGGAATTTTAGTTTATATAAGAGCTGTTTGGGGAAAACAAATGAACAAAAAAACCCTTACATTCCTAACAGGGAAGTACTAGACTTCCTATCCTGGATTTATGACTAGTTCTTTCTGTGGCTTTGGATAGGCCACTCTACACTTTGCCTGAGTTTCCTCATCTGTAAGACTCTAGAGCCTGGAGAAAAATGAATTTCTACAATTCTAAGCCATATCAATGCATCAATCAATTGCAGGTGAGGATCTCACCTGTTACAAAAAAATGTGCTGTATGATTCTGATTCAGAACACTCAACTACAGTGATAATTTGAGCATATGGTGTGCTTAAATGATTCTGAAAATCCCTCCAGAGTAAGGTAATTTTTGCACTAACTGCCTAATAAAGATAGAGATGGTTTCTACTTCTTGTAGCATCAAAATGTTGAAGGAATCCCCACTTTCTCTAGGTTTCCTGTGATAGAGCACTGGGAAGTCCACATACTGTTTCTCTGATTTTTTAAAATGTCTAATCTAAATCCACATTGAAAATCAGTGAAGAGGAACAAATTATTAAGAGATGCCCCATTCTTCCTAAGTGCCAACTAGGGGAAGGAGAGAACAGCAGTGAGAGAAGAAAAGGAAGAACATGATGAGTAGGCTAGTGATGAGTGATTAGTCAAGAGGCAGGTACACATCCATCCAATAAGAGGATCAGATGTACTGGTTTATGATTAATTACAACAGCATCTTTGCTTAAAAGGAATTTCACAAAGAAAAATACATCTCCTGGTGATTTGAAAGTCAGTTCAAAAGATGCTTTTCTCCCCATCTGTCATCCCAAAACTAAAGAACAAAGAATACTGTACAAACAAAGAAGGAAGAGCAGACAAAAGTAATAGCCCAAGAACGCTGATGTGCTGATGCTAGAGGAGAGACAGGTACAAATTTCAGTGCCTCTCTACAGATAATGAAGCTGAAGAGGAAAATTCAACTTGTTGTTTAGAAAAACTACTTGTTTAATTGGATCAAAATTGCTTAACACTCTCAGATTTGAAAAGTAACCCACCCAACCATCTTTTTCTTGTTTTTGTGCTCAAAATTTTTCCAAAGTAATCATTAATTTCCCCAAATTTCTTTTCCAAGATAATCATTCATTTTTCCATTTATCTTGAAGATTTGTTTTGACTTTTACTATAGGCCACATATTACTTATTACTTTAGATATTGAGGATATAAAATTTATTAAGACACAATTGCTTATACTGAGGAACTGACATTCTAGTCCAGTCTAGTCAAGTTAAGGAAACAAAATAAACAGATAATATGATATTTGTTTTGTTTGTTTGTCTGTTTTTTTAGATGTGTACTCAGAGCTGTGAAAGGAAAAAGGAAGGATGCTTATTTGCCTAAAAAAGTGGGAAGTCAATGGAGGGAAGATTTGTAGTTGGGGACCGTAAGGTTCAGAGAGGCTTCACAGTCAAAGAGGAATCTCTTGTTCCATCAGTTTTGTTTTCTTGGAGGCAAAGAGTTGGTGAGAAGGATGAGCATTTACGTAGAGTGCAGTTGGGTAGATAACTTGAGATTTCCAGACTGCAAATGTAACACAAAATCTTCCCCTTTCCAGTTCTGTTATTTCTCACACATTCACAACTAATCTTGTTTTTTTGCCTTTCATTTATTTTGCTTTTTACCAAAAAGACATACTTGAAAATAGCTTGGCAGGATGTCAACACTGGAAAGTATCACACAATGTAACTATAGGTAACATTTCCAGAAAGGAAACAGGCTTAGAGAAAAGACAGCAACACACAGTATTCTGACACAGCTGGGACTAAACTTCTAATCCAGCTCTTTTTCTTTTCTCCATTATTTCTTCTCACCCCCCTTCCTGTGGGGATATACTTACAATCTCCCTAGGGTGCTAGATAATACTTGTATACTCCAGCTATTTTCATTTTCACATAATTTTCCCATGAAGATTTTGTTGTTTCCTCTTTCAGACATGACCCAGGAACCTTAGGCTGTCCTCATCATCTGATCCCGGAGGCACCTTAAAAGACAGTGTTCCCCAGGGAGTGTATGATTGGAGATTGTTGGGCCTCGGCTGCTACATTCCCACCAGCCGTGGCCCTCTCCACAGTATGAGGATACAAACAAGTCTCATTCCATGTTGAGGAATTTATGCCCCTAGCCAGTCTGGTTTCTTCCAATGCCATTTGCAACCTTTGTGGTTTGAATCTGCTAATAGAAAAATTAATTGTTGGTTTTGAATGTTATTGGACAAGAAACCCAACTAACTTTCTCAGGCCACTGTTCTGGGAAAATTTCAGCTTCAGGAAGATTGTATTTCAGACATCCCCTAGGAAACAACTCAGAAAATGGGGCCATTTTCAGAAGAACTTAGTTGTGGGTGGTAAGAGATGGATATAAATCAGGAATAAATATAGCTTACATGAGTCAAAGTCCTTCTGTCTTTCCAAAAAGGCTTATTCAGGATCTCCACAACAAAGAGTTATTACATGTACCACATTTATAGATGATTTGGGAAAACAAAAAGCTCTCATCTGGTAAAAAGTTTCTTTCTCTAATGACACTCTTTCTGGTTTGGCCAGAAGTTTTTCTGCGTGATATATGCCTTGAGTTAATTAACTAAAGCTCATCGCCTTCTCTTTCAAGGGAGACATAGAAAGTATAAATATATTGCCCTGTTCTCTCACTCTTTCTGGAAACCCCTCCCGTCCAGCCCAAGCTCAGGCCCAGTGAGTGTGAGCTCCTGTGCTCCTCTGCACTGGTTGGATCACCCCGGATCAAGCCCAGGCTAGCCCCTGACATGAGGACCTCCAGAGCTCCAGCCCCCAAGCCCGCTGAGTGAGTGAGAACTTCTGGGATGCTCTCCAGACCCCCATATCCAGTCCAGCCCAAGCCCCGCGAGTGTGTGGGAGAGCATCCAGCTTCCCTGTGCCCATGGGCCCTCTCCAGACCAAAACCCAGGCACACCATGTGAGATCCTCTGCCATGCCCTCAGGACCTCTCCACCCCTCCGGAGCACCCGTCCCAAGCCTGCAGACTGAGAACTTCTGCAACGCTCTCAGGATCCCCAGATCCAGCCCAAGCCCAGGCCCAGCTACTGTGTAGGAGAGCTTTTGGGCTCCCCTGTGCCCTCTGGACCAGGGGCACAACAGAGGGACACCACAGGTTCACTGTTGGGCCAGAGGGGCACAACAGGTTCACTTCCAAGGGCCGCAGCAGGAAAGAGCTGAACACAACAGCTA